ATGTTGAAAGTTCTTTATGGAAGAGTTGCCTAGTGTTATAGTGAGTTTCACTGATAACAGTTGTGGTCATGCATGGGATAGTCTCTGGGAACTCCACAGCTAAGGGACCCGACTAGTCATGATTTTCCCTTCCATACTAATTGATTCCAGGCTCATGAAGACACTAGTGGAGTCATGGTGAAGTCCAACTACAGATGATGAGGGCCTGAAGTAAAGTGACCTTGGGTGTGTAGAGAATGCAGGCAGGATTACAGAAACAGCTGGAGGTGAATCTGGTGGAATGTGGTGGATGAATGCATAGGATTAGAGAAAGCGGAGGAAGGCATCCAAGTGACTCCAGATTTGGAGACAAGGTTGATGGTGGACCTATCAGCTGTGACTGCTGGCCATGTAAGTCTGAACCTCCAAGGAAAGTGAGGGCTAGGAGTCCAAATTTGGGAATAATTAACAAGTGGCCACACCTGTGTGAACCAAGGGGGAAGTTGAGCTGAGAGCTGGTGGCTGAGGATTAACCCTGGTGACCACCACTTGTGTCTGCCATTATTATGCACTTGAGACTTGTCCAAAGAAGGTTATACATAAATAAAACAGACAGGATTCCATTTAGCTACATATGCAAACGACATTATGAAAAAGAAACGAAAGTGTCTATACTCGGGTAAGGTAGAAAACCAGAAGACTCAAGGCCCCCTATGGGCTAGCCAAATATTGATTTTTTTAAAAAATAAAATCTAAATGTAGTCTTCACTTAAAAAGGATACTCCTCCTTTCTGGTAAACATTTTGGCAGCCTGTACTAATCCTTTGAAAAGTTAATATCCTTTGACCTATTAATTCCACTTTCAGGAATCCACTCGAAGGAAGCAAACAGAAGTTCAGATAAAAATTTATATGCAAAGATATTTCATCTTGTTAGCTTTTTTGGGAAGGTTCAGCACGGAGGGAGCGTTCAGCCATAACATCATTTTAAAAGGTTTGGATATCAGGCAGTACCATGGCATAGGATGTGAAATCTGCATTGATGTTAAAATACTAGATGAGTATTCAAAGAAATCTGGCTTTGCCCTTTGAAGCCACTCTCCAAGTTACTGTGGTGAGAAAGCTGGGGGTATGCTAGCTCAGAGCCTTTGTTGACTTGATATCCAAAAAAAATGCATGTGATCTGTCCTGGTCGTTTCTAGTCCACCCTCTTTTTTTTTTTTTTTTTTTTTTTGGTGCTCCTGGCTTCTCATGTCATGTTCCAGAAATGCTTCTAGAAGTTTCTTTAGCAGGCTGTTACACCATCAAGGTTTTACCCAGGATAACTCCTGCCCTTACATGGATTTCCCTGCTTTCTTTCCTTCATGTATCTGGTGAACTCTTATTCATCCTTTGAAGCCTCTTTCAGATTTGGTCCCCAAATAGATTTTGTCAAACACAGCATTTTGAAGAACAAATAGGGTTTGAATGCTTCAAGGTGAGGTGGATGTACTAGTTCTACCACCCTCCTCACTTCTTCCTATTTGTTACCTTGTCACAGCCCTGGCCTTCTGTGACAGAGCTATCTCCACCTCCTTTCAGGCAGAAAGCGTCTCTTTGGTCATTGTCACTATTGTAATACCTTTACACCCATGACTGCATTTATCACCCATATGAGTAATCTTTAAAATATACTTTTTTTTCAATTCTAATGCTAATAAATTTTGAAAAAAATTACCCACAAATAGGAAAAAAAAGTAACTTTTATCTCCCTCCTCTTCAAGAACACTGATGTCTTCATGTTAGTGAACGTTTCTGGATGTGATTTGTGTATGCACATGTCAGAGTCAAATTAATACTGTGTCTATAAAGCTTAGAATCTTTATTTTTGTTATAACATAATGCAAGCATTACTTGCTCCGTGTTTTGTGTCCTTAGTTTTAAAACATGCTTACAGAAATTGGCTGGACCATCTTGAGGGTTAAGATTCCCCAGTACTTAAGCAGAGTGTTGGCCTGGACCAGTACAGGGACTTAATGTTTGTTGAACTCTGGAGATGAAAAATTTAACCTGTCCCCATCCAGCCTCCAAGGATCTTGTTTAGGAGACATACCTGTTCACTCATGATTTAATGTATTCATGCACTCAACAGATATGTATCTGCCGGACATCCTTCTATCACTGGGGACACAGTAGAATGCTCCAGTCCTCGTGAAGTGTGTGTTCCAAGCAGTGATTTTCACACTAGGTTGCACTGAGATCCCACAGCAGACTTGTGAACTGCAGGTCACTCACTGGGTTTTGCCCCAGAGCTGCCAATTCAGTGGGTCTGAGGACCTGAGGGCCTGAGAGCCTGCAGTGTCAACATGTTCCCAGGGGATGCTGATGCTGCTGGTCCCTGGATATGACACTTGAGAATTCCCGGCTTAAAGGATCAATTTGCAGTACAGTATGGCAAAAGAAAACAGCTGTGGGGTTTGTGGGTAAGAGGGCTGAGGTCTGACTTGTGTGTCTAAGACTCCCTGATTCTTCAAGTCCCCAGGAGGAAGGAGGGGACTAGGAAAATGCCCTGTGTCCAAAACCTCATCTTTTCCTCTATGGATGACTCTGGGCAGTCTCTACAGGGCCGCAGATGCCCAGGACTGATCAAGGGAGAGGTTCAAGCAATTATGATGGCCACGTGTGCCTTCTCTGGGTCCCTTCAGCATGCTTACCATATGTCTGGTATTCTGAGCCACTGCAAAAGAGAAGCACGACCCTCCCCATTTTATGGATGTGAAGACTAAGACCTGGAGAGCTTATTTAACCCACTGTAGTCGTCCCCCACACCAGTGAGTGACACATCTCGAGCTCTAAGCCCAGCCTTTCTGAGAGCCTTCAGACCCCATGCCATCGCCACTACCATAGCTCCTGTTGAGACTGGCCTGTGGTTGAACCCTCAATGGGACCAGTTTCTAGAAATGCTTCAGTAGTCATAGCTGTTTCCTGTGTGGTGAGACAGTAGTCTCAGGAGCTAGTGCAAGGTTGTTCCCTCATTTCATCTGGGGACTGTAAAAATTTATTGCCTTTCCTTTTTGCCTTTGTCACCAGGAAGCTCAGAGCTATGCTTCGTCGGCAGTAGCTTTCCTGAGTGTAAGGTTCTTGGTATAATCATCTCCCTACTTTTCTTTGAAAGCTTTTGTTTCCTGTGTTTTCTTCTAGAAAGTTTCCGAGATAATTTTCTAAAATAGGTGGATGTCACAGATTAGTGAGTGAAAAGTAAATTTTCAGAATGGAAAGGATTAGTTTAAGGGGTGTTTTTTAAACTTTTGAAGACTGATTTGGCCCAAGACTGTGCATGAGTGGACACAGACGTGACTGTGGACACGTATGTATTTGATAGCTTGATGTTTCCTTTTGAACTTGAGTCCAGTTTGGCTGGAGCCAGGGCTGGCTTTGAACTCTGGCTTCTCACTACTTGCTTTATGACTTTCATTTCAATCTCAGTGTCCTTATCTGCAATGGAGATTACGATGCCGTGCATGGTCATTGAAGAATTTAACAAAATGACTTAATGTAAAATGGCTAGTTATGTGCCTGCAGCAGATGATAGTTACTGATATGTCTCGCACAGGCTGGGATTTGTAGAAAGATTGGACCATGCATTTGCACTTGCTCTAGACATTTTTCCTAGAATGTGCAGTGGGGAGCTGAAATGACCCTTGACTTCACGTTGGGGTGCTGTGTTCCATAGCTGTGAGGCTTGCTTCCCCTTGGTGCAGGGAACTCCATGTGGCATTTCTTACACATTCTCAATGGCAGTAGATGTTTGCTGTGGAGAACTCAATATTTTCTGAGGTCATCCACTTAGAGGTTGGTGACTAAGACTTAGACAGCCCTGGGGTTTCTACCTCCTTATGCAGTGGTGACGTACTCGGCTTGAGCATCCTTGCCTGGAAAGTCCCCTAAAGCCCACCTCCTGGCTCTTCTTGATTTTACTAGGCTACCACTCTCAGTTTTTCTTTCAAAGTTTTGACTACTAAGTGCAATGGCTGGAGGCTACTTTTTAGGGCAAGAGAGGGTTCAAATATTACAGGACTCTTTGTAGATTTCTTTGTCCCAGCTTGTGGGCACATGAAGCAAGAAGGAACAGCTTCCCTGTTGCCTATGCTGTCTGGGCTGTGTGAGGCCTTCAAGAACCTAGGGCCTACCTGGAGCTGTGGGCCAGGTATAGACTGTGAGCTCCTTGGCTTCCTGAGGCCTGAGCGTGCCATGGAGCCTTCACAGGGGTGACTTTCCCCACCTCTGACCTTCCCTGACAAAACTAGTGTCTCAAAAAAGAAGCTCTTTGGGTCATAAGATGCCATCTGGTAATTACTATGCGGTTGTAAGATGCATTGTATTTATTTTAATTTTTGTGTGTGTGTGTGTGCGCCAGGGATTGAACGCAGGGGCACTTAACCCCTGAGCCACATCCCCAGCCCATTTTTGTATTTTATTTAGAGACAGAGTCTCGCCAAGTTGCTTAGGTCCTTGCTGAGTCTGGCATTGAACTCATAATCCTCCTGCCTCAGCCTCCTGAGCTGCTGGGATTACAGGTGTGTGCCACTGCACCCAGCTAGATGCACTGTATTGTGAGGTAGCCTGATGGCCAGGAAGTAGGTGAGTCATAAGAAAAAGAAATTCTTAAAAAATTGTTAGCAAAATGAGCTTCTTCCAAATCCTGTTTATTTGAGCTTATCCTTTTAGAACCTGTTTAAAACAAAACAACAAAACAAAACAAATGGGGGGACCATAATCATTTCAAGGAGAGGTGATCCCAACCCTTTCCCAAAGCTTCATTTTTCCATTGGGCAATGTAGTGAACACACCAAGTCTGCATGTCCCCAACAGGCCAGGGCAAAGGGTACAGGCACTGCCTGCCTTGATGACATGGGGCCTCTGCTATTCTTCCTGTTCACGGTGAAGTAGCTCAGAGGCCTCGGTGAGGTGCATGGGTGCTGCAGGCATCCTTCCGTAGACCATCCCATTCACGCTCTTGCTTTTGTTTTGTTGGCCTCCCAGGTCCAGGAAGCTGCAAGTCGGGGCCTGAAGTTTGTGGGCGTCATTCCTCAGTATCACTCCCTTGGCGGCAGCCCTCTCACACCCACAGCCAACAGTGCCACAGATGCCAGAGCTGTGAAAAAGGCACATGGGGACCACCCATCACTGGAGGACGAGAACCCAGGGGCTGCAGACGTGTGTGTTGCTCCCTCAGGGATGGACGGAAGCCCAGAGCCCGGCCCAGGCCACACAGGGGACCTGCCTTTCATTGAGGAGCCCAGCTTATCCTCTGGAGAATTTTCCCCACAGGGAATGAGTCCTATACTGGATGGACCAGATGGTGGCCCGTCGGATACACATGCAGGGCTGCTCTCTAGGAGTAAGTATGTAAGCCCCTCGAGTTTTGACCCACTTCAGAGAGGTGAACAGCTTTTCAGTCATCCCCAGGGCGTTTTAGGGAGAAGAGATGGGGATAGAGTATAGACACAGCAGTCCATCAAACACTAGAAACTTAGTTATTTGGGCCGCACGACTAGTTACTTGCTGAAGTTGTGACTTTGGGGGTGAGCAGGGCCATGTGAAATTGACTTGCAGTTGTTCCAAGTGGGTTCTAAGTGGATTCTAGATGGTGAGGTATTATATCCCCTGCCCTTGCATAGGGAGTGTTGGTATGCTGGGAACCACTGAGACCCTCCACTCCACTGCTTGAATATTTGCCTATAGCAAGAAATCACAAACACCAGTTGAGGGCAATTTGTGCGGTGTGTGTGTGTGTGTGTGTGTGTGTGTGTGTGTGTGTGATTCAACTCATGACAATGTAAACATCCAGCTTTCAGGGTCTTCCTACGGTTGACGTATCACTGTGGTAGAATACGCCATTGAGGAAAGGCCAGCAGTCTGTGAATCCTCCTAGTCACATTGTAAGGGCCAGGAGAGCATGCACATTGGCTTAAGGATTTCACATAACAGCACAGCAACAATAGCCAACATGTATTAATACTTCCTAAGCACTAGGCCCTGTGCCAATATGCTTTTAATAGACTGACCTCTTAATTCTCCAGGCAGCCTTGTGACATATGTGGGTGAGCTCTATTACCATTGCCTGGTTGCCAGTGGAGTAATCTGGGGTTTTCAGAGGAAATGAGTTGCCAGGGTGGGAAACTGGCAGACCTAGTATGTGAACACAGTGGGGCTGGGTCACCACCACCCCATTACGTCTCTCTGGTCTTTCCTGACAAGATTTCCTGAAGCCCTTGGTTGACAGGGAGTGAAGTTTCCCTGTATTTCTCTCCCCAGAGTTCCCTCTTCTCTACTTTCTCCAGGAAATCTAGCATCCAGTCACTTCCTGACAGCAAGGTACTTAACATCAGTGGTGGGGCCTCTTCGGGCCTTTGGAAGATGAACGAGTATTGAGACTGACAGCCAGAGACCACCAAGCCTTCCCGAGGGCTGTTTGTTTAGGACTTTCTGGATCATATCCCTGGTTAATATTGTTACTATTTAGTTACTTGTTCTTGAAATCGGCCTCTTACATATGATCAGGAACATTTTTATGCTTGGAGAGTGGAGAACAAGGTGAAATAATTTTCATTGTTACATTAGTATGTCTTGAAAGGAAAATTATAGGATGCTTATTTCTGGGGGCTTATTTGCAGAGTTGCTTGGAGGGAGAGATTGGAGCTGCCTTGATTCTGGGATATAGAGGGCTATTATTTAATCAAGGTCTGGATCCTTCTTAAACATGTACTGGAGTAGAGCTCTTCCTCTGCCTGGTTTCTCCCCCACCACACACACACTGGATTGATAGACTTCTTCCCGTCCCCCCCCCCCCACTCCCCATTCAGAGCAGCTGAGAGTGTGTTTAGACCTGGCATATGCCTCCTAATTAGTGTCCAAAGCTGTCTTCTATTGATGTGGGCAAGGTGTGTGTGCTGATCCCAAGAAGATTGATGAGCTTCTGGGGGAACCCTGCACTATGAGAGGGTTGGCGAGGCAGGTGGCATCATGGTCGAGAGTCCAGCCTTTCTGTCCATTCCAGCCACCTTGTGGCTGGGCAGTAGCCTTGAACACAGCAATTGCCTTCTCATGGGAAAGAACAGCAACTCCCTCTGGAAAGGTTGGGTGAGACGTACCTTCAAAGCCTCTCAGTGCTGTGGACTCACCCATGTGAGCTGTTGCCCCTGGGCTCGGGCACCATGCTCCTGGCTCTTGACCTCCACTTCTCATGGAACCTTGGTTTGAGAAAGAAAGTGGTTAATATGAAGGCTTCCTTGGGAGTGTGCTGACACCCTAGCCTTCCCCAGTCCACCTTCCTCAGAGACTCCTCCTAGACTTTCTGCCTCTGTGTTTAATACCAGAGAATTACTAACTGGGAAGACTTGTCCTGGGACCCTCCCCAGATGCCCAGTGCCCTCCTGCTCCCCTGTGGCTGCTCACCTCCCTCCCCCAGACTCCCCGTAGCTGAATGCACAGAAACCCCTCCTCCTGAAGCATCTGGACCTGCCTCCCCCCTCAAGACCCTGTTCTCTGCTGTCACCCAGATCATGCTGGGAGATGGTGGTTAATGGGTGTTAATGGAGGCATTAGCCCAACGGTGAAGGGGAACTTCAGCTATGGGGGGTCTCTAAGCCTTCCCTGTCCCCATCTCTCCAGGTGCACAGCTGCCTCTCCCCATGCAAATAGCTGGCCAGGCTACAGGTCTCTGTAATTTAGGCTCCCGCTATTATTTTTTAGAATTTTATTTATTTATTTTATCTTCTGGTGGAATAAATGAGCCTCTGGATTTTCCATCAGTCATAACACACTGGGGTGACTAGTGGGCACAGAGACCTGTGGGGGATGGACAGACCGTCATGAGGGTGGTCACCCTGAGAGTGCTGTTCTGACTCCTCCCTGGACGTCAACTCTGTTATTCCTCATCACATAACAGAAGACTAGGATGCTCACTCCATGGATACAGAAAGTCCCTTCCAGGCAGCTAAGTCTCTTACCACAGCCAGGCCAGCCCCAGAGCTGGATATCCAGGACCCTGTCCCTGAGGATCATGACCCTCACTGGCCCCTGGCCTACCCTCCTTATCTTTTTCCTGGGGCATCTTATTTCCTTCCTTGAGAACAAGGTGAGCCGTCACCCCCAGCACACACACAGCCCCCTCCCTGCCACTCTCATCTCTTGGCTTGCCTTTCTCCTGGGGCCCCCTAAGGAGGGTGAAGTGTTTTTACTCCTCGTTCTGCCAGGTGGGCTTAAATAGGCAATCACAGCAAGACAATTAAAAAACATCCAGAGGGAGTCTCCCTCCTCCCCCCTCCTCCTCCTCCTTCTTGCTTAATTTATTTCCTATGTAGGAGGCCTAGGGGAGAAGACTCCAGGCAGTGACGGCTCAGACAGGACTTTCCCCGAGTCTCCATCTGGAAGCAGGGGCAGGCTCCCTCCCAGCCCCCACCCCTGTGGCACAGTCCAGTGGTTAGGCCCTTCTGCATTTCTCTTCCTGCTCATTGAATTTTATTTCCTGGTTCCAGGGGAATTTCTTATTGGTTTGAAGTCCAGGCTGTGCAGTGATCATCTGAGCCCCAAGTGTCTCTGTTGCTACAAGAGAAACAAGGAGGCCAGACAGGTTCTCTCAAATTCTGATTGTTCTGTCACCAAAATCATTATTCTAAGTCTTCCAAGCACTGGCTTTCCTATCTGCTGAGACTTCCCAGCCAGAAGCTGTAGTCGCTGATCTCAATTACAGTTCTGGCTGAGGGATTTTGTTCAGTAGACCTTCCTGGCAGCTGGCTCAGTGTGGATCCCTGAAACTCGGGGGCCTTTTCTGATGCGCAGGCTCTTTCCCTCCCCAGGCCAATATCCTCCCCTCCTCATACCCTCAGGATAGAGGATAGTCTGACCCTGTGACTCTGCCACTCTTTCAGGCCTTTGACTCATTACCCCTAATGCTTTGGAGACTGTTCATTCCAACACAGCTACTAAGTCCCTACCTGTGGCTACTAGTGCCCACTTTCTGTGTCCTGATGAAGTTGGTCTCTTAATTGGACCTGGGAAGGAGCCCAGGGCTTGGGATCTGCAAGACCTGGCTCTCCCACACTGGCTGTGATTCTGAGACATCTACTTAACGCTTCAGGGCCTGTGGAGGTTGGAGAGTCACATGGGACCATGTCACATGGTGCAGGTGTCTGGACTGCTGATGTCTTCACGCTTCAATACCTGTCGGCCATTGTGTGTGCACTTTGCCTCCTGCTGGCCCAGAGGTGCCCTGTTATTTGTCCTGAGCCTATGACACAGCCTGAGCAGCCTTCTCCAGATTTTGGAATCTGGATAGAGAGCTTCAGGCCCTTCTTCCCTTCCCTCCACAGTACCCACAGCCTGCCTTCCCAGAGGAGACCTTTCATCTCAGTTCCCCTGCACCTGGCCTCGTCACACTGCAGACCCCACCCAGCTGTCTGACTTCCACTTCTTCCTTCCAGCACAGCTAACTCATCAGCAGCTTCTCTTTTGGAGCCCACGCTTTAGTTCAAACTCTGTATTTTTTTTTATCCAGACTGGAGGGCTCCTTAATCACCACACCCAGCCAGCTCCTGTGGCTCACCCTCAACTCACAGCTCACTGGGATTGAACCTGAAGACAAGTAGGCAGGCTTCTATTTGGAGCCCAAGTTCCTATGCCCAGGCCCAGGCCTCAGAGCTGGTCACCTGCCTCTTTGCTCCCCACTTCCCTGTAGCCTAGGAGGCCTGAGAGGAGGGGGCCACTCAGCCAGCCCCCAGCTCTCATCCTTTCCTAGATTTTCCCACTTGTCTGGCTCAGGTCCATCCAGCAAGCACCTCACAGCTCCTGTCACAGCGCAGGCTCTTTGCTGTACATGCGGAATCTTACCTGTGACAAGGCAGGGCCTCTGTGTGGGGAGTGGGGAAGGAGGATAAGAAGATGGTAGGTGCTCAGTGCAGTGCTTCAGCCATTCTCAAAACATTCTCCGAAGCGATGCTTTCCCTATTCTTTTGGGACTTTCTGTCCCACGTCTGGAAAAATCTTCCTGCTGAGGTCATGGCGGAGTCACAGAGCAGCTGAGAAAATTGAAACAAATTCGGGGCTTCTTTTTTGGAATCCTTGGTGCCTGCTTGTGTGAGGATGTGTGTTGAAGAATCGGACTATGAAAACATCAAAGGGCATCGTGTTCAGATGGTTTCTCTTGGCTGGTTTCCATGTGAGTAGAGGGAAGACTGTGGTCACGGAGGCGGTGGGACAGAGGCGTCTACTAAAGGGTTACGCGTTCGAAGTCAGGTTTTCTCCCAATATTTCATTACCCCTAATGTTTTGGAGACTGTTCATTCCAACAGCACTTCCTTTTCCTTCCTGAAAAATTTATTTCTGTCTCTGGCTTCAGTCCGGCCCCTGGGGAGATTCGAGACGGGAAAGCTGGGATGCTGTTAGCACCGACTACCTTGTCGGAAGTCTCTCTTCTTCCACCCATTCCAACATCCTCGCTTCTCCTTTTGACATTTCCCCTTTTTCTGTTTCATTATGCATCGGGGAAAATGGAGGGTTTTGTCTGGTCGTGTGAAACGAGATCCTTCTGAACTTCGGCCACTTCCAAACTCCTCAATCAATTCTCTCATGAAGCAGCTGTGATTTCTTTTTAATTCTATTGCATCTGTAGTTGACTCTAATATACCATAGGGACTGGTGCTCTGGCCCACTGTGGAGTCACCTGCAGTTAGTTCTGGCCAAGTTTACAGTTTCCTTAGCCTCTGAGCTTGCCAGTGTTTCTTGGGAATGTGAACATGCAGGGCAGATACTCTGGGGAGTTAGTGCCAGTCAATAAGGGTGAATTCTCCAGCTGTGTTGCCCTTGGTGGGTCCCTTTGAGGTGTGTTCTATACAGTGTCTCAGGTCCCCTGTGGGATTGAGCCCCATTGATAATCTGCTCATTAACGCATACTTCATTAGCTTCGTCGTCTCTTCATTTCCCATCCCACCTCCATCCTTCTCTCTCTTAGTATCACTTTTCAAACAAACAGCTTGCACATGGAAAGCTTGCAGGATTTGCTTTTGAAGAAATCCAAATGAATTCAGCGATTCACTGAAGCATGGCTCATCCTCTTGCCCTTTGTGGCTGCCATTTTTAATTGAATGACTGGCATGTGGGACTAGAAAACCCCTGATTGCTCAGTTCACGTCCTCACCCTGACCCCCACCCCTGCTCCCCAACCTATGGCTTGACTCCCTCCATTACAAACCTTCCTCTGTCATTTCATTCTTAGTTTATATTTCAAAGTCATGAAATAGGTAGTGGGTGCTGGCTCCATACACCAAGACTTTATTTCTTGTGTGAAAGTATTTCCTGGTTGGAGGTGGCATCTTGAGTTGGTCAGGTAGACTAAGAAAAGGTAAGGTAATATGGGGTGGGGATGACCAGGCTAGAGCTGGTGTTTAAAATCCAGGTGGCCACTTCTGACGATAGGTATTAGCTCTCTTGGATGGATAGCTTGAGATGACTCTCCTGTTTAACTGTTGATGATAAGTCTCATGGCCCAGAGAACTCCACTGAGGCTTGCTCAGATGGGCCTGTGAGAAGAACTTCTTTGTCCCAGAATACAGTACCTGTGTGAGAAACTTCCAGATGTTACATGGGTTACTATATTCTGTGTTAATAAGCCTTGTTATTCCCCTGTTTATGGCAAGGGTAAAGGTTTGCCTTTATGGTCAGATTTTCCTTTTAAAATGCAGTTAACAGAAAGTAAATAAATTTTAAAAATAATAATCCAACTAGTATTTGGATACCACAAAAATTATGAAATACTCCAAATTGGGAAACAGCATCCCAGAATGTAGATCTAGTTATCCCATATGGGGAACGTCTCGAGTGTCCTTTGTCCTTTTTGCTGATGTCAACCACCATTGTTTATGACCTTTAAATTTTTTCTTTGATAGAAGGGTGGGGATTGTCTTAAGATTTTAAAAGATATTTTTGGAAAAACAAAGCATATTCCTGAGCAGCTTGTGCAAGAAAAGCTTTCTAAGCTGGGTCAACTCTGATTGCTTGTCTAAACGAGTATTGCAAAAATAGGCCTTCAGAGTTAGGTTGAAATTGCAGGTTTTTGCCCCGCGAGGCAGCTACTGCTAACTCATACCTGGCAGCACGTACAGCAGGCACAGATCAACTGGGTGGTGGTGACTATTGATTTCTGAAGGACTGAGCTATAAATGAAAGAATGGAAAGCTCAGAGCCTCACTCCCAGAGCCTGCCTGCGTGGCTGAGGAGCTGACCTGCCACTGTAGGCAGAAACTCTCATTTACGGGAACATATTTATTTTTATATATCAATGATGTATTTTTTGATGTACTTGATTAAGTATTATGGGCTAGGCCCCAGGAAACACCAGTGCAGTTTATAAATAGTGAGTTCATGGGTGAACAAGGTTCCTGGAATTCGAGCAATGTGTTTGTTTTTCTGTGATTCTGTACATTGGCTTTTTTTTTTTTTTTTAAGTTCAGATCTCACTCAGGTATGTCTATTTTTACTTCCAACACATCTTTGTATTTCTAGAAATTTATGCTCAACTCCTAAATGCCTAAATATACAAACTAATCCCAGATAATAATTCATTATATTCCAGATTCAAAATCTTAAGTCCCCCCATTTGAAGCCTAGCCTTTGAGGCCCATGTATGTCACTTGAAGGCAGCCACAAGTTACTACTTGGAATCAAGTTATATTACTTGGCATGTAGGCTCAGAGATTTCACCGTTGATATCATTTCTTTAGATTCCTGAGAGATTTCATTAATCCAATGAGTCAAATTTTTATCGCTGGTTGACCTCTTCTTTCCCCACTTTTTTTTTTTTTACAAATTTCAACAGAAATGGAGATCTTTGCCCTTTTCAATAAACCGAAGAGCCATCAGAAGTGCCGGCAATACTATCCTGTTACTATTCCTCTCCGGGTCTCCAAGAATGGCCAGACGGTGAGCAGTTTGGATGCCAACTGGTTGGAGCACATGAGTGACCACTTCCGGAAAGGAGGCGTGCTGGTGAATGCAGTCTTCCATCTTGGAATGGCAAATGGTATGGAATCCACCGCCCTTGTGTGGCCCTTAAGAATTCTGCTTCTAACTTTTATAACCTTAACCCATCTTTGGAGCCTGCTCCATTCAGTCAATAAAAATGCTGCATTTGATTTCTGATTAATACAGCTTGAGCAGTGCCCATAAAGTCAAGGACCTGAGCAGGAGTCAGCCATGTATCTTCCGAAATGCCAGGGGAGGGTGGGGTGGTGGGGTGGTGGATTCTATTTGATGAAGATGGCCTCTGTTTCTGTTGCTTTTTAAGAATTTTTTTTTTAAAAAAAGATGACTCCCTGGGATTGTTAATTACCCCCTGGGATCATGCCATGCCAGAGTGTGAATTGTTTGTAGACGCTATTACAGCTTGAAGTAGCAGCAGCACCTTGGAATTGACAGAAAAACAAATGGCATGCTGCCTGGTTTCTGTAAGCTCCATTGGGACACACACAGTGCCTGGGTATCGTGGCACCCATGCCCCTCCCCGGGAGTGGGTTATCTCTGGGGGGTTGCTGCATGGAATAGCACTATTAATGTCAGCTTTCAAGGTGGGAAGGAAGTCTGCCCACAGTGGGAAAAGGGGTCAAGCAAACAAAGTGCTTCAGGCTAACATGAAGGCAAGTTAAATCACCAGGGTGCGTCAAAACTGGGAGGCAATTTGAAGAGTGGGCCAACCTGCCAGCATGTGTAGATCCCGAGGGCTGCCAGTCAACATGGTTCCTGAGCAAGCAAAGTGTCACACCAAAGTTGTCGATCTCAGCAAAACCTGGCAGGGGGCATCAACTGCACCACAGTTTTCTCTCAAGAATTAGAGTCAGGGATGGATTTTGGATTCCATATTATTTGCAATCCTTGAAATGCCAGCAGGCGTCCTTAGAATAGAGATGCTATTCTTAATTCTGCATGTACCTACTTTGAATCATTCAAAGCCTCAGAAGATGACACAGCACTAATAGACCTTAGTTTGGATGCAGTCTCTTGTTACTATCTAAATATCTGTGTCCGATCTCAACTTGTTACAGTGGCAGCAGGCATTGCGTAATGTCCTGGGCCATAGCCATTTGTTATAATGGATGAATGACATAAGGAAGGCCATCAGCTCACTAAGAATACAGCCAGACTAATACTGTCCAATAGAACTTTCTCTGATGGTGGAATGTTTAATGTGCTATCCAGTATGGTAGCTACCAGCCATCTGTGGGCTCTGAGCACTTGAAATTTATTTCATTTTCACAAATTGAACCATATGGGGCTAGTGTACCGGACAGTGCAGTTCCAGCGTGTACATTTCATTGATGCAACTAAAATTCATTTCTGTTCCCTGGCAGCAAAGTGATAAACTCTCTGTGTATAAGAAACCCATCATGGTACCTGTGGGGGCTCCGGAAGCCAGGGCCAGTCACTGTCTGGCGAGAGGCACCACAGAACACTGGGGCAGGTGTCCATCCCTACTCCTCAGTATTGGTAGCAGGTAGGCAGGGAGGAGCCCTTCACCTCCTACGTCCTACAGGGATACCTGGTGCCCATCTTAGGTTGGGGCAATAGCAGCTTTTTTATCTTGGTGCCCCAGAAGCTCTCTGTAACAGTCGTGTAGAACATTACATTTCTCTGTGGGCACCTGATGGCTATTTGTACTAACATCTTAAAGATGTGCTGGAGGTAACAGCAGCACAGGATGTCACTGGTCATTTTCTCTCCTCTCAGGAGAATGGGGCATCCAAATGGAAGTTTTCTCTGGCCCAACTGTCTGAGCATGTCGGGGCAAGCCAAGCCCCCAGAGAGAACATGTTGAAAGTTCACAAAGCCATTGAATGTCTCTCACCGTTATGGTTTTGGCAGTCAAGGCTGAGTTCACCTCCGCTCCCTTCCCACCCCCCCTCCTTTCCATCCATGCATCCAAAAGCACAGAGAATTTGTACAGCTCTTTCTTCAGATTTGCCTTCAGCATGTGAAAGGCTGTTATAGCTTCCCTTGGCTTTAGCTGCATTCAAGCCAGCCTTCCTGCCTTGAAGACAGAACGTGAAATGTCCCCTGGCAAGTGCAACCGTGAAGTGCTCCGCGGAGCCTGAGGCATCTACGGTGTCTAGCGCTGCAGGCAGCCGCTCTGCTTCATTCACAGCCAGGGGTGCGAAAGCCTCTGAACCAAATTCATTGAAACCCACACTGGCTTGAGATGTGATTTTTCCTGTGTGTGTCTGCTGGGAGGACCGTGCGAATCGGGGTGGTGTTAGTGGGTTAAGGCTTTTCTGCCCTGGGAAAGCCCAGGGCTTCTGTTGGCCAGGGAAGAAATAGGCATATGTTCTTTTCCCAGAATTAAAAAAAAAAAAAAAAAAAAAGCAGCAAACTAATCATAATCATGAAATGAACCTATCTCTAAGAGATAATTAGTATCCTTGCTAATAAACCTGGCAGAGCTAGAAGCACCTTCAAGCTGTTTGCCACCTGGGAAAGCATCATTCATGACTCTTGAAAGTGTATTTATAGTCTAAAATCATAAAATTTATACCCAAGTCGTAAAACTCATGAGAAATTTGTCCAGCTCGCCCAGTTCAGACTCCTGCTTCTGTTTTTACACCTCCAAGGACACGGAAATACTCATACAGTCCCCAGGTTTGGGCTCCCACTGGTAGTTTCTGGGACTCCTCTCCCAGGATTGGGCAGGTGGCTCCGGCTAGTGAGGCCCTACCCAGAGCCCTACCAGCTCAAGGCACATTGAAGGGACCTGTGCCCTGTAGGACTGTGCTGGGTGTGCTCCAGGCACTTCTACAGATCAGCTCATTCAGTCTTCAGCCCAGTGGAATATAGTATAGGTGTGGAAACTGAGGCACAGAGACGTCACGTCATTGCCAAGGTTACCAGTTGGTAAGTACTTGGCCAGGCAGTGAGAGGAAGGAAGAGTGAGGATGATAGAAGAGATGTGACCATGTGGTGGGAGGTTGAGGGCCCCCAAAGGGCAGCCTGCTGGTGGGGAAAGGAGAGCGTAGGTCACCCCAGGGGACAGTAGGAATGAGCCCAGGGGCCACACAGCAGAGCAGACAGCCCTTGGGAGCCCCCAGACAGTGAGACGAAGGCCAGAGTCTGTATTTCTAGGGATGAGGAGGGTCCCTCCTGATCCAGCTCTTGATGGCCCGGCTGGGAGGCTGCTTCCTCACCAAGGGCTTTACCCAGCCCCTTCGTCATCACTGGCCACCAGTCTGGTTGCCACCTTCATTTCTCCTTGCCCTGCCTTGGCCCCCCTGTCACCTGCCCTGTGTTCCTTACTCTGCCCTCATCCTTACCTGCCCCCCCCCGGCTCTGCCCCCCCTGGCTCTGCCCTGGCCCTGCCCTGGCCTTCTTCCTGCCCTGGTTCTCTGCTTGCCCTGCCCTCTTCCAGTCCCTGTCCCGTCCTTGCCCTCTCCTACCCTGGTGGTCCTTCCTCTTTGCGTCAAAAAACACCTTCGTTGCCGATTGTCCAAACCAGAATTCAGTCCAGCAGCACACGCTGCATAAGGTGACCCTGTCCTCACTTCTCTGTCCACCTAGGAGAGCCTTTTTTCCTGCCCCTGCTTGGTTAAAAGGAAGCTGGCCTCATCTCCTGCACAATGTCCTGCATTAGATCTGTCTGGTTCAGTGCCTTGTGGGGTCCTCTTTCTTTTTCTTTCTTTTTTTTTTTTTTTGGCACTAGGGATTGAGTCCAGGAGCACTTGATCTCTGAGCCACATCCCCAGCCCTATTTTGTGTTTTATTTAGAGATGGGGTCTCGTTGAGTTGCTTAGCACCTTGCTGTTGCTGAGGACTCCTGAGCCACCGGGATTATAGGTGTGTGCCACGGTGCTCAGCTATTGTCTTTTTGTAAGCTACTATTTCATTTAAACTTCAAGTTAGTTCTATAACCTTGATGAGTGAAAATCTAACTAGAGTACATTGCAGGTGATCTGCATGTTGTGTCACACAAGGGGTCACTTTACAGCCATGTATCTTCACTCCAACCCCTACTACATCATCCTCGGGTTTTTCCTTGATGCCCCGGCTTTGTCTAAATCCACCTTTTTTTTTTTTGGACACCTAGCATATCCTACAGATGTAAAAACATGTGCATATTTCAAATTTTAAAAATAGTTTGTTTTATACAGATGTGCTTGCAAGTCCCCAGGCGGGGCCCTACCTCCTCAGACTCTTTAGCATCTCAGTGCCTGAACTCCCTTACCCCGAGGTAGAGGGTGCAGTGCAGTGGTCAGAGAGCACCAGCTCCATGACTCTGGAAACGTAGTCTGTCTGTCCATCACCTGCATCTGGCTCATTGTAGTAGTAGCTCAGTAAATGTTTCTTAGTTGTCGAAAGAGCACAGGCTTTGGGATCAAACCAACCATGTTTCAGATCTAGTTTGACCCTTGCATTCCATTTGAACATGGACAAGTTATTTAACTTTTGTAGTCTCCCTCATCTCATCTACTAAAAGGGAATGATGACTCTTGCAGAAATGTTGGGAGAGTTCTATGAGAAGTCATGAACCGGGTTGGGCAGAGAGCCTCACGTTCAGCCAGCACTGAATCAGAGTACTTCTGGTCAGGTTCATGACACTAAAACTTGCAGGCTGATCCTTGCTCTGAAGAGGAGTAATACCTTCTCTAGATGATTGAACACCTCAAAATGAGAATGCAGGAAGGAATGCAGGCCCGGAGCAGCAGTGGGGGCTCAAGAGGTAAGAGAAGGCGGCGGCCTGCTGGGTCTTCCATTAATGGAGCCAGTAAGCAGTAGCATAATTGGAAAGCAGCATGGCACAGTTGTCCAGGATTTTGCATCTTGGTATGACCACACGTGCAATTATGGCTGTGTGGTTGACCGTGCCACTCCTAGAATCACAATGCTGAGAACATCGTACGGTTTCCAGCAGGGAACAGGACCCTTGAAGCAAGGAAACTGAGATCCTGCTACCTTGCTGTGGACAGTTTGTCCAGCCTCATTTGTTAAAAGGAGAACAGTAACATTTGTTTGTAAACCTGCAAAAGTAGACCAAATGCGTTGACTGCTTGCCCTGGTCTGGAGAGGGGCCAGCCCGACAGGCAGTCTTTACGCCTGTGGGAAGAGAGTGGTTGCCTCATAGACCTTACCTCTTGAGATAGCGTGGCAGATCTTTTCCCACATCCTTCTTGTAAATCATAAGCTTGGAATGTCAAGGTGGCCTTTTGCCAAAAGACCGGCATCAAATATTTATACAATACCAGGGCAAATAGCTTTTTGTGCACAGTAGGGAAGCATCTTTAGTTTAATAAAAAATGCAGTGATAATGGAATGTTTTCCATAGACGGAGGGCAGTTTAACCTTTCTACATTGGGAGGCTTCGCTCTAAGATAGACCTATTTATACCCAACTGGGTGCACATTTCAGGGAGGCTGAGCCGTGAAGGTAATGAGGACATGGGGAGTGGACAGGGCCGTCAAAACAAGGGGCTCTTTAAAAGCCTGGCTGTCTGCTCTCTGTGGTTCATTGACTTTTTTGCTGTTACAGATGACCAAATTTTGACAGCTGTTCTGAACTCGCATCGTAGCCAAGCAGGTGAATCAGCGTTTTGGAGAGCAGAGCCCTGATAGAGGGGTGGGAGACAGGCAGTACATGGGTGGATGGTGAATGAGGATTTTCACAGCCCCCCTCCCAGGCCCAGAACTTGGGAGGAAGGAGGGGAAGCTAGGCAGGAAATCTGGATGGGTTTCAAGTGACCCCTTCCTTCTCCTGGTCCCAACTTTGCTGCACTCTGCTGTTGGCAGGCTAAAGCCTGTTATGCTGTTTTTGTTGAAATGAGCACTTTAGTACTTAAAGCACATGGTAGGCATGCCTAGGGGACTTGAGTTCCTCTGTTGAGGAGATGTGTGGGTGTAGAGGCTTTGGAGATTAGATCACTGTCATCCCTTGGTATCTACAGATGATTGGTTCTAGGACCACCCCTCAGATGCTAAAATTTGTGGATGGATGCTCAGTGCCTTCTATAAAATGGCTGATAATCTACATATATCTTCCTATGTACTTTAAGTCATCCCTGGATTCCTTATAGTAAATAATGTGTGTGTGAGATAAATAGTTGTTTTATTGTTTAGGGAATTACGACAAGGAGAATGTGTATACTTGTTCATTATAGCCTTTTTAAACTTGATCCATGGTTGGTCAAATCCATGGCTGTGGAACCTGCAGATAGATATAGAGGGGCTGGCTATAACACGTTAGTGTAGAAGCCTCAAGGAAATATGTGCTAGGTTGATATGATCTCAAAGGAATTACTGAGTATGTTCTGGTCCCAGACATCCCCAGGTCAGGACTGGGATGCTTTGTTCAAAGGGGTTTATTTGGGGAACCCTGCTATGACAGAGCCTCTAACTCTCGAACATTGCTGAGGGTTTAACAAAGCTGTTTGTTCTGGATCTGAGATACTTGTGTTACGGTCATCTGAGGAGTGGCTCTTTCTCCCGGGTCACCTACATAAAACATCCTAGGAGTTCAGTGAACTAACACTGGGGGGAATCTATTCTGTGAAGCAGATGAAAGAGGCAAGCTTAGCACTTGTCAAGGCTGTTGAATAACATTCTCAGAATAGGAAAAAAGAAACTAGTACATGACATTGCTTTACCCACAGGGATTTTACTGGAAATGGAGCATTATCTTACCAGGTTGTGTTATTATCTGGATAAAGCTTCATTGCTCCAGGAAACACCCATGGTTTATTAGGCTGTTCAGAATTCTGTGTTCTGGAATAAAGACTATCCTTGTCCCCCAGGCTGAGCAGAGTACACGGGTCTCATGTAGGTTGGGCACTGTATCAGTCAGCTATTGCCATAATAATGCTGTGTAACAGACCATTTCAGAGCTCACTGGTGTAGAGAATAGTAGTTTATTCCACTGGATTTTCTGGTTGGCTGGAGCTGCTTTGTTGGCAGCCCTGATGATCCCAGATGAGCTCACAGGTCTGCAGGTCGGCTAATCTAAGCTGGCACCATTGGGGTAGCTCTGCTTCACATGTCTTTTATCTTTTAGGAACTAGCTGGTTTCTAAAGTGGTAGCAGAGACATGGGAGATCAAGCTCAACCACACATGTGCATTTCTTGCCTCTTACCTGTTAGCATCCCATTGGCCAACCAAGCCATGTGGATAAAACCCTCATTGGCTGTTCTCCCCATCAGTCATTTCAGTGTTGATGTCCCTCATGATTCTGTAGTTTGTCTGGTCTTTGGCTGCCTTTCACTGTCTGCATTTATGTGCAGGCTGCTCCCTCCTCTTCCTGGTACTCTCAAGCCCTGCAGATCCATACCCACATACTTTGTTAATTCATTTCTATCTCTACTCAAAGTGGAAAGCTCTAACCTTATCACCCGTTTCAAAAATAGCCACCAGCACTGCCTCCACCTTGGCTCTCCTCATAGCTTACTATTTCTATAGCATTTGTCACTTTTGACATTTTGCTCTTGTCTCCCTCCTGCACTGCAAGATAGGCTCTGTCTTGCTGCTTAGGGGATCTCTAGTGACCCAGAGTGCTCAGCACATAATGGTGGTCAGGAGGTGTCAGAATGATCCAGTGAGTAGCCAAAGGTCACTCGGGGTGAGCTTGAGTGTTTCCAGGAACACATTGCTTACCCTTCTAGGCCCAATTTTCCATTTCTAGACTTAACTCTAAGAAGGTCCTCTCCACTTAGATTGTGTCCCCATTGTTTCTACAGTTTTTTGGAGTCTCTTTCTGCTTTCCAGACCCACATAGGTGTGCTGTCCATTTACCTGTGTTACACCTGTATTGACTCTTAATTAGCCTTGCAAAGGAGGATAAACAAGAAAATTCAAATTATATACCTAATTCCACCACTCACACCTGCTTCTAGGATTTTACGTATGTCCTTAAAGTTTATTTGTCAGGACATTTTTAACATAAAAATTCACATTTTTAAAAAAATTTTCTTTTTGTTGTTGATGGACTTCAATGTCTTTATTTTTATGTGGTGCTGAGAATCGAACCCAGTGCCTCATGTATGCTAGGTGAGCACACTACCACTGAGCCACAACCCCAGCCCCAAAAATTTACATTTGAAACACAAAAAAAGAGCTGTATCAAGCTCATACTTCAGTTCTATATTCTGTTTTCTTTCCTTTTATAATATTGTACGTGAAGCATTCTCTTGAATCATTAAATTCCCATTATATTTTGCGGGATAACACTACAGTGTTTGGAAATCTGATTTATTCAGCTATTTTTCTGTGGTTGACTATTTGGATTATTGAACATTTAGATTTTTCTTAAGTAATTTTATAAGAAATGCTTGTAGATAATTATTTGATGGCACTGGTGGATATTGCCTAGGACAGGCTAAAAGAGGTAGAATTTTAGCCTGTCAAGGCAGGCACTTTGGACATTATTAAACTGCCCTCTAAAAAAAATGGAATAGTCAAAATTCCCTTAAACCCTGTAAACTTTCCTGTAACTCTACTCGTAGTGAGAATTCTCTTTTCAAAATTTGCTGATCTGATTTAAAACCTCAAGCTTTTTTTTTTTTTTCCTCAATATTTGCTGGTTATGGAGAAAGAATTAAATAATTGTTCATGTTTTTGCCCATTTCTAGTATTTTAATTATTGATTCATAAACTCTTTGTATATGAAGAATATTAAGCTTCACCTTTTATTTTTGTTACACTTGTAAATGATTTTCTCATGTTGATGACTTTTAAATTTTGTTTATAGGAGTCTGTGGGGAAAATAAGCTACAGATAGTTATGTGTTCACATTTGTCATTTTTGTGTGTGAGACTTCTGAATATATGAACAGTTCCAGGAATTCCAGTGTGATTCAGGGGGCTTTCTGAATTTCTCTCCGTTCCCTATGAAAAAATGTTCATGTTAATGTGCATTTCTCCTATTAAAAATTGTCCTTTGAAAATAGTATATCATTGAAAAAGGTTCTGTATTTGTATTAGTCTGCTAGAGTTACCATAGTGAAATACCACAGACCAGGTGGCTTAAATAGTAAATCCATGTTTATATTCTCCCGTTACTGGAGGCTGGAAGCCCACCATCAAAGTTGCAGGGTTGGTTTCTGGTGAGGGCTCTCTTCCTGGCTTGCAAGCAGCCACCATCTTGCTGTGTCCTCACATGGACCAGGGTGCACACCCTGGGTGAGGGTGCTAAGAGAGAGATCTGGTGTATGTGTGTGGCCCCCCTTTGGATCCTCAGCAGGGACAGGATCCTGTTCTATTTTTCTTTATATCCCCATTGCCCACAACCATCCCTGTATATTTAATGTGTGGTTGTTGAATTGTACAGAACTTGGAACCCAACACATTGATTAGAGCAATTGCCCAAGGAAACGTTTTCAATGGTCAGTCATTTGGAAACTCCTCCTCCCCACCCTGCCCGATTCCACCTCTTGACAAGAATTGCCTGAAATGTCGTGGGTACAGCAGCCACATCACATGAGCCTCCAAGAATCAGCACTTCCCGAAGGCTCCTGACAGGCTCAGATCTTGTTTCATCTACCCCTCCTTAAAAAAAAAAAAAAAAATCCTTCTCACCTAAATACAGTTTTCTTCTAAAAAACTGCCTCTAAATGGCTGTGTTTTACCCTGGATAAGTTCTCCCCAGCGCTTCCTGACGCTGGAGCGTGAAAAGGAAGGTAAACGCGTGAAATCAATGGTGATTGCTAACAATGAAATGTGGGCTCATAAAATCAAGGATATTATTCAAAACTGCGAGGTAAATTAGTCTCATTCATTCTGATGGGGCTAGACTCTATGGCTGTGTGTGCCTTCTTTAATTAACATGCTGAAAAGATGTTCTGATTGGGATTATTAATGAATGCAGTGAAAATTTTGCTGCTTGTAAAGCTTCTGCCACAGACGGCTTACACAGCCCCCCTGTTTTTTTTTTTCTTTCCACAGATTCCTTACACGGCTTGACAGATGGAGTATTCATCTTTGAAGCTGTTTCCACAGAAGATAGCAAAACCATACAGGGCTATGATGCTATTGTTGTTGAACAATGGACAGTCCTGGAAGTAAGTGTGGGGTTGGCAGCGGGCGCTTCTTTTGTTTGGGCAGAGATTATTTTATCTGCTTGCTCCATTCCACAACTGACCGACTGACCATGGGGCTGCTGCTCAGCTGTGGCTGTCTTCTGAAAGGGAGTTCACCTGGGTAAACTTAGGAGGACCCCCTTAGTGTCCTCCCAGGCCTCCCCAACCCCCTTAGGGGTAGGTTCCACAATTCCCTTTGTGAAAAAAATAACTATGCTGCATGTGCCAGACCCTGGGGTGGAAAGAGTCATCTTTCATTAATTTGCATATCACTGAAAACTCTAAGTGACATAAGTGACATAATGAGGCAAGCGTGTATTTTGTGGCCTCTGTAATAATAAGAGTAATATTGTTCATGGAGCTAGAGCCCCTGGCCTCCCTCTGCCAGCCATCCTTAGAAGAGACTTCTGCCCAGGAGCTGGCTCAATCTTCACCATAAACCTATAAGTATTGTGCTGTGATTGCCTGGTTTCACAGTTAGGAAACTGAGGCACAGAGAAATAAAGTCCTACACCCAAGGTTTATGCAGCAAGTGCTGCATTATGTGTTTGAGAAATGATGAACCACAGGGCCATCAAAAGGCTATGGGCAGAGGAATTCCTCTGGCCATGGTCCTCTGGTGCGCTGAAGGAGCTGGCTGACTTCTAAGATTCGCTGACCTTTCTCCAACTAGGAAGCACAGAGGTGGTAAACCAGGCTCTTGTGCATACAGCATCTGGGATGTAAAGGCATGGAGGACTGATTTCTGAATGTCCTGGCAGGGCCCAGGGTTGACACTGTCTCAAGGGCTCTCCAGGCCAGAGTGAGACAGAGGTGGATGTAGCTCTTTGTGGGGCACATGGGACCCCCAGGCAGCTAGTGCTGGCCACACAGGTTGTATTTGCCATGCTCGAAGCCTGGAGGCTATCCCTGGCCTGGTTGGTGGGTGGAAGTAAGATCCCCCCAGGGCAAACTGCTACTCAACCTTTAAGCCATAGCAGTTCCCAGCAGGTGTGAAATGAGAAGCTGGGCTGCTGGGACCATGCCTACTTTCCAGCAGTGATGGGGAATAAGTGCTTATAAGTATGCCAACTGTGAGTACGCAGAGAAACTGGACTAATCAAAAATGGGCATTGTGAGGTCCATAGCATCCATTAGTGGAGGGGCCAGAAGTCCTTAGGGTGTATGTTGCAAGGGAAAACAGAAACCAGGTGATAAGCTGGGCTCCACCAGTTACTCTCATGAGACCTTTGTGCCCCAGGCTCTCTCCAGCCTCCATGTCCCTAACTGGAAGTGGAGTGCAGAGGAAGTGAGGCCCAGTCTGGTATGCAGAGCCCAGTGTGGGCGGGACATGCAACCTCCTAGGCTTCTGCACTTTCTCCACTGGCACAGGTGCTATTCATCCAGCTGGTGGTAGGATGAAGGCCATGGGTGGGGATATAAAATACAGTAGAGTAGGAGGATGAGTGGCTCAAGGGCCTGATTAAAACAGGACCAAGCTTTTTGTCCAGTGGCCTGCAGACCTCAGCATCTGGTTTGCTCAGCAACAGAAGTGATGCATGGGTGTACCCAGGAATGTGTGTGTATAGAAGTAATTGTCAGGCCATTGGAATGAGTGTGGAGCTCCTTGTCATCTGCATGTGGCTGCTTAGGGAGGGGCTTTGTGGTTTTCTCAAGAAAGGTGACTTGGTGATAGTGCTCGTCTAAAACCGCGGTTCCCAAAGTGTGGTCCCAGGGCCAGCTGCATCACCACCACCTGGAAAGTTGTTAGAAATTCAGATTCTCAGGCCCAACCTCAGACCTACTGAACCAGAAACACTCCTGTGTTTTGAAAAACTTTCCAGGAGATTCTGATACTCACTCCATTAAGAACCAGTGTCTAGAAGGACTCTCTGCAGAGGTCTGTGTGCTGTGACACACGACTGAATCAGTCAGGGTCACTCCAGGTGAATTGGTCTGGCTACTAAATAACCACAGAGACAGAAAATACATTTTGGGGGGGTTCAGTGATGGCTTCTTGACCTCAGCTCCCACAAGGGAGACCAGAGAGGCAGGCAAAAGAGAGGGAGCACACCTGAAACCCTATTTATTGGGGGGAAGACACTCTAGAAAGTTCTACCCAAGTTAAGGTAAGGGTTTGGGTTTCAGGGGGTTGCTTGGTAATGTCTTGTGGTCAGCAGATTGACGTCTTGGAAAGCCACACCCATCTCAGGTGCTGTGTGGGGATCATAGGCAGAGCAAGAGGAAGGGCACACATACACAGCAAAGCCCAGTCAGTCAGTCTGGTTCCCTCATATGCTCAAATGCGCATAGCTCATATACACAGCCCGTGGCTGGCTCACGACATCTGTGGTCATGCCTTATTTGATGAGAGGCATGAGGGGAAGAGAGGTCACTTATTTACCTTTCTCCCGCTTTGAAACTGCAACCTTGGTGAATAACTGGAGTAAAGGTGAACTTGGATGTGCTCTGACTTAAACACATCTGAAATCGAAAATATTTTAAGTCAAAAATGCTTTTGATACACCTAGCCTACTGAGCACCCTACCTTAGTAACAGCACACCGTGGAGCCCTAGTTGTTTCTCCTAATGATTGTGTGGCTGACTGGGAGCTGCTCCTCCCTGCAGCTCAGAGTATTGTCCTGCCTATCACTGGCCTGGGGAAGGAGCATATTCAAAATCTGATGTATGGTTTTTATTGAATGTATATCACTTTTTGTGCCATTGTTTGAAAAGGTCAAACCACTGTCAGTCTGGGCCATCCATCTGTACATAAAATATTTGTGGGAGGGAATTGAGGTTACAAACTAAAATAAGGAGATAGTTATCTTTGTAATAGAAAAAGAGATCACTTCTATGGTTAAGATATTTGATTAGGAAAGATTAATGTGTATTCACAATTGTTTTCTGGAATTGTAGGTTGATTTCCATTGCTTGTCAACTTTTTCTATCAGATGTTTGAACTTTTTTCATTTTGACGTCTCATTTGGTTTCCTCATCTCTTTGATATTGGTTTCAGGAGCTGATCTCCCCTTCACAAATGCAGGTGTTTTCCCAGGAATCCTTGGAAATCAGGTTTTAAAGATCTATAGTTGGCTTGGTGGCATTTACTAGTCATCAAAGTCGGTTCTGTGCCTCTCTCCCAAACTCCACATTGAGTGACATCAGGTTCCAGATTTGAAATTGACCATGGTGGAAGTATTTACACCATGGAAATTGTGTGTGTGTGTGTGTTTGTGTATGTGTAAATATATAATATATAACATATAATATATAATATATAGTATATATTTTTGCCCCGCTTTGGAGAGCCAGTTATAACTTTTACCAGATACACTGGATAGGCTTTTATTTCATCACCTTTCACCACTATGATTCAAAGGCTGCCAATTAAGCAGAAAAAGATTCTATTAATGTTAGTGGGAGGTTGGAGGGACTGGGGATTGAACTCAGGGGCACTCCACCACTGAGCCACCTCTTCAGCCCTGTTTTGTATTTTATTTAGAGACAGGGTCTCACTGAGTTGCTTAGTGCCTTGCTTTTGCTGAGGCTGGCTTTTGAACTCGCAATCCTCCTGCCTCAGCCTCCTGAACTGCTGGGATTTCAGGCATTCACCACCACACCTGGTGTTTATTAATTTTTATAATAGTAATAACAGATCAGTGGCTTTTATATTGTTGTTCACTGGTTTTTCTCTGCACAAGTCTTCAGACCTGCTCTTCCCTTTGTTCTCTGAAGCAGCCCTGAATTTCCCACAGCAGAAGCATACCTCAGCCCCCATTAGCAGCAGCACCAGCCTCTGAGATTGCCATCTTCCAAGGGCACAAGGAGGGGATTCCTCAGGGCAGACTACCTGTGGTTTATGGGTGTCTCTTTCTCCTGTAGCTGGTGTGGACTCGGCTCATAGATCACTTCCTGTCTAGTAAAAGACCCCTCCACCCCTGTATTCACTGATAATCTGTGCATTGGCCTGGAAATACCCATCTCTGTTCTCTAGGGCATTCCAGTAAATGCTTCCCCAATTGGGCTGCAGATCTTTTAAGTCAGCCCATGGGTAGACTAGTTCTCAAAATTGATTTTGTGTCAAAATCACCTGCAGAGCTTTTTAAAACATAGATATCTGGGTTCTAACCTCAGAGTTTCCTCTTGAGTAGGTATCTTAATCTTCTAGGGTTGGCAGAACAAAATACCACAGACTAAGTGGCTTACATAACAAAAATTTCTTCTCAGATTTCTAGTTCTGGAATCTGGAAAGTCTAGGATCAGGTTTTTACCAGGGTTTGGTTTCTGGTGAGCAGAGTGCATGAGCCCTCTGATGTCTGTCTCTCTCTGAGGACACCAATCCCATAGGATCAGGGGCCCACCTTTATTATTTCATTTAACTTCTTTAGAGGCCTCATCTGCCCTCTGGGGCTCAGAGGTTCAACATGCAAATTGGTGGGGGTGGGAAGCACAAAACATTACATCTATAATTGTGGGTCTGATGGGCCAAGAATCTGCATTTCCAGTACCTGGTCAAGTGGGCTGATGTTGCTCGTCTAGGAACCACACTTTAAAAATTCCAGCCTTGGAGGAATTTAGTATTTAGAGCTTATTTACCAGTACAGTGAGCAGTATTCACTTGGGGACAGTTTGGCCTATGGCTCAGCTCTTTGAAGAGGCTGTCACACCCACTCCCCCAACCCCACAGATAGCCCTCTCCAGGCCATGTGGATATTCTTCATCTCTAACAGCTTCCACTGCCAGAATCCAGCTACTTCCTCTCTTCCCCACCCTTTTGACCTTTGGGAAAGCTCTTTCCTGTTTAATCCCTGGGCAGGTCCCTTTTGGCTTATAGTTGACCCTGTTTTTCTGGCAACCACTGTCCTCCCCGACCTAACCTCCTGGGCTCTGACCACAAAACACTCTGACCAACTCTTTTTCCCACAACTGGAACTGCTCTGCCCCTTTCCTGCCTCATTATTTCTGTGCTTGTACCCCAGCTCTGTTTGCAGGGGTGCTGT